ACAAAGCAGGAAAAAACATGCAATGGAAAAAAGACAGTCTCTTCAATAAGTGGTGCTGGGAAAATTGGACAGCCACATGCCGAAGAATGAAACTCAACCATTCTCTAACACCATTCACAAAGATAAACTCAAAGTGGATGACAGACCTCAATGTGAGACGGGAATCCATCAAAATCCTAGAGGAGAACATAGGCAGTAGCCTCTTTGACATCGCCTACAGCAACTTCTTTCAAGATACATCTCCAAAAGCTAGTGAAATAAAAGCAAAAATGAACTTTTGGGACTTCCTCAAGATAAAAAGCTTCTGCACAGCAAAGAAAACAGTCAACAAAACAAAGAGGCAACCCACAGAATGGGAGAAGATATTTGCAAATGACACTATAGATAAAGGGCTGGTATCCAAGATCTCTAAAGAACTTCTCTAACTCAACACCCAAAAAACAAATAATCAAGTCAAAAAGTGGGCAGAATATGAAAAGACACTTCTCCGAAGAAGACATACAAATGGCTAACAGACACATGAAAAAATGTTCATCATCATTAGCCATCAGGGAAATTCAAATCAAAACCACATTGAGATACCACCTTACACCAATTAGAGGCAAAAATGGACAGGGAAAGAAACAACAAATGTTGGAGAGGTTGTGGAGAAAGGGGAACCCTCTTACACTGTTGGTGGGAATGCAAGTTGATAAGCCACTTTGGAAAACAGTGGAGGTGCCTCCAAAATTTAAAAATAGAGCTAACCCTACGACCCAGCAATTGCACTACCGGGTATTTACCCGAAAGACACAGATGTAGTGAAAAGAAGGGCCATATGCACCCCGATGTTCATAGCAGCAGTGTCCGCAATAGCCAAACTGTGGAAAGAGACAAGATGCCCTTCAACAGATGAATGGATAAAGAAGATGTGGTCCGTATATACAATGGAATATGACTCAGCCATCAGAAAGGATGAATACCGAACTTTTACATCAACATGGATGGAACTGGAGGAGATGATGCTAAGTGAAATAAGTCAAGCAGAGAAGGTCAATTATCACATGGTTTCACTTATTTCTGGAACATAAGGAACAGCGTGGAGGACATTAGGAGAAGGAAGGGAAACATGAAGGGGGGGAATCGGAGGGGGAGACGAACCATGGGACACTCTGGACTCTGAAACACAAACAGGATTTTAGAGGGGAGGGGGGAGAGGGGAAGGGTTAGCCCGGTGACGGGTGTTAAGGAGCGCATGTCCTGCGTGGAGCACTGGGTGTTTTATGAAAACAATGGATCGTGGATCAGCACATCAAAAACTAATGATGATGTATTGTATGGCGACTAACATAACATAATAAAATTTAAAAAAAATACTAAAAAAAATAAAAATAGAAATAAATTAAAAAAAAAAAAAAGAATCCTCTTCCAGGTTCCCTTCTTTTTCCTCTCAGCTCATTGCCATGTTGGCCAGCAAGGTCTCCCCAGGACCTCATCAGCACGAGGCTGCCTCTGCCTCCACACTGGTCTCTTCCCATTCCCCGGAATCCCACCACCACCACCAGGCTCACTAAACTTTGTACTCAGCTGAAAAAATGCTGCTTTCTTTAGCAACTGAGATTTGAGTCTCTCAAACCCTCCCCTCAGGTCAGCCCCACCTACTCCCAATCCTGACCTCTTGAATCCCAAAACACAACCGGAGAAGGGCCCATAACCCCCAGACCTGGCCCACCACAGGCTCACACCATCCAAATACAGCCTGGCCCTGGCAAGTGCTTGGTCGTCCCGGTGTCTGTCCTTCATCCGCTCCCTGGCTTCTTTCCCCAGTATAACAATTACAAGACCTTCTTGCTTGTCTAAGGACCCCGGTCCTGGCCAAATACTCATCTCCTTCTTCACCAAGTAGCTGGAGACCTTCTGGACTCAGCTTTGCCTTGGAGCCCCCCTTCATCCACCATCCACCTTTTTCTCCTGCCTCCCCCCTTCCTAAGACCTAGTCCCCTTCCACTCTCTTCTACAAAGCCTGCCCTGAGTGTTTCCTCCCTCCCCTGAAGTCCCAAAGCACGCCTGTCTGTACCTCTTATTCAGGTCCAGTTGTCAAGTATTTCTTATCTTTTCCCCTTTGAATCTTCCTTTAATATTTTAAATTGCACAGTCCGACTTATCTTTTTTTATGCACGTATCCTGTCTACCCAACCAGATTGGGTGTCCTCCAATGCTCTGTCCTTTCCCATCTGCTCATCTTCCTTTCTAATAACTCCCTTGGAGAGAGCTCATCCACTTGCAAAATACCATGGATGCCACACATATTCGTGCCACTAAGCCCCTGCTCAGGCTACCCCTGGCCTTAGGCTCCTTTCTCCTTCTCCCTGTCAATCTGAATCCACGCTCTTTGCGCAAGGCCACTTCAAATTCTAATAACGCCTTCTCCAGCAAACACAGGTCCACGATTACCTATTCTTTCTCTAGTGTCTATAGCACTCCTGTCTATATGAGTATTTTCATGCTTAAGTATATTTTTGTTTTATTGTGTCTATAAGTGTGTGTACCACCCATTTCCCTACCAGTTTTGGAGCCTCCTCAGGACAGTAACCAAGTCTCTGGTTTTGTACCCCTTGTAGTACTCAGCACAGTGCTACATATTCTGAAGTGCTTGTTAATTACTTCCTACCGCCATGCATCCTACATTTCAAAAGTGAAAATATAACTCAGATTTTTTGTTGCCAATATGGCACAGTAAACAAAGGCTGTGGTGGTGCTAAACGGAGCAAAATCTGGAGCCAGAACTGAACAAAATCTAAACCCTTGAGGCGAGGGGTTCTATGTGCTTTAACAACCCCTCTTCAGAGACACCAAGTGCAAGGACATTGTAGATAGTACGCAGCTTCACAGAGTTGTCTTGTTTAGTTATCCGAACCCAGAAACATAACACCTTGAAGGAGTCTGGCTGAATCAAGAATTCAGAGCTCATTTGCCCAAGTGGAAAGTTGCATGGGGCCAAGCAAAGCTGACCTGATGAAAGCCAGCGTGTTCAGCTTCCTTTCAAATCAGCAACCATAATTGCCACTACCATTTAACATGGCACCAGTCACACCTGTGTTCTGGGGCCAAGAACAGTGGCCAGCTCAGCACCTTCTGAAACACGGGTGGCTGAAATCCAAGGCAAACAAGACTGAACAGATGAATCACAGCAGCGAGAACCCAGCAGCTGCCATTGTAATCCAGGGAGCTTACCCACCATCCAATGGGGCAGGGTGTAACCTGTACTGTGCTGGATATGGGATCGGCTCGACCTTCCACCCTCGGAAGCTGGGTCTCCACTAACTCCTGAAGAAATTCTCTTGCCTCTTCTTGGTCTGCAAATGTGGTTAGCCTTCCTGGATTAGGGACCCAGACCCCATCTTTGAAGTAAAGTGTGGCAATCCACAGAGCTGACCCACCCTCACAGACATAGTCTATACACAGATGACAACAACTAACATTCCTAGGCTCATTCATTATGAACTAAGCTCAAAGGAAGCCAATAACAACTTACAATGTTCCATAAAGTTCTCAGGAAAGGGGCGCATGGGTGGTTCAGTCAGTTAAGCCTCTGCCTTCGATCTTGGGGTCCCGGGATCGAGCCCCATGTCGGGCTCCTTGCTCAGCGGGGAGTCTGCTGGAGGATTCTCTCTCTCCCTCTCCCTCTGCCCCTCCTCCTGCTCGTGCTCTCTCTCTCTCAAATAAAGAAATAAAATCTTTTAAAAAAAAAGTTCTTAGGATAGTATTCTAGAAAGGCAGTCCGCCAATGTCCATCAGCTCAAAAGCCAGTCCGAGTGGAAATTGAGGGTAATGTTTAGTCTCGGGAGCTTCTAAGTTTTGTTACAGCTTTCCCGCCCCTGCCCCCTGGGCTAGCAATAGCAATTGGGAGAAACAAGAGAAAAAATACAATTCGCTTTTCAAAAGTACATCCCAAGCCCATGCACGCTGGAGTGCTGACATTACCAACCTGCCCCCCTCCCCAACTCACTTGTCTGTGGAGAAAGCACCTGTATTTGTTTTCCTACAAAGCCAGCATCCTCTTTAGGATCTTCCCTGATGCATGAGAACAGCACCACCTGGGCTTGGGGCACCTTAGTCCTGAGAGTCGAGAACTCCAATTCATTTATTCATTCAACAAATATTTATCAAGCATTCACTATGTGTGAAGCAGGTGTTCTAAAGTCTGGAAGATAGCAGGAGCACCTGTGTGGCTCATTCGTGGCATATCCAACTCTTAATACCCGCTCAGGTCTCAAGGTCATGAGATCAAGCTCCATGACATTGGGCTCCTTGCTCAGCGGGGAGCCTGCTTGTCCCTCTCCCTCTGCCCTCCCCCTCATGCACTCGCTCATGCACACACACTCTCTCTCTAAAATAAATAAGTAAATCTTTTAAATAAATAAATAAAATAAAGTCTGGAAGATAGCAATCGTTAGAATAGGAAAAGTTTCTGCCCTCTTGGATCTTATATTCTGTCCGGAAGGCAATTAACAAATAAATGTGTAAATATACAAACTGTCAGATGGTCACAGGTGCTTGGGAGAAAACCAGGCAGATCAATAAGGATAGGAACCACCCAGGGCTGGGGAATGTGGATCACGTAGGATGGTTAGGGAAGGGCTCACTGAAGAGGGGACATCTCAGAGATCTTAAGGAGGTAAAGGAGAAGCCATGCGGAATGGTAGGGAGAGATTTCCAGGCCAAGGCAGCAGAAAGGGGGGATACCCTGAGGCGGGAGAGGGGTTAGTGTGTTCACATAGCTGCAAGGGGCCAGAGGGCCTGGGAAAGCAGGAGCAAAGCCGAGCAAGGTGGTAGGAGCTGAGACAGGAGGGGTGGCAGGAAGCCAGCTCATGGGAGAACTTACAAGCCCCGTGAAGGACTTTGGCTTTGACTCAATGTATCAGTAGGGCCCGGTCGGGAGAAAGAGGCCACACCAGTTATTTCCACAGAGCTAATTTAATATAAAGAAATGTTAATTAGAAATAAAGTCATTAACCAGGTCACAGACAGGGTAAAAGAGAGCAAATGAAGGAAGCTGGCTCCACCCCTAAGGCTGGGGGAGTGAAGGATGAGTTATTAAAATTCAGAACTCAGACGAGGGTCTCACAGGGTAACAGCCCAGACCCCTGAAGAGGGGACAATGGCAGCTGGTTCCGGCATCCCAGAGGAAGGCCAGTGAGATTGGCTCTTGAGCGTGGGTTCAAGTTGCCAAGTGGATTTAACTGTGTCTACAGGAAGGAGCTGCCGCTGCCAGGCTGAGGCAGCGGGGCCAGGGTGCCACTCAGCGGGTTGCAGCCTGACAGGAAACCCTGCAGAAAACAAAACAGGAAAAAGTGAACCCCCTCTGGCTCCTCCAGGGGCGCAGCCTCCCTCCAGCGCCCCCTACTGGCCGACCTCAACAGGGAGGCGGCGGACCCAGGAGAAAGGTGGTTTTCAGGGGGCCCAGCCCCAGCAGCTTAAAATCCAGCATGGAAGGAAGGATTTAGAGTCGAGTAGCAATAATTTAATAACCGACACCCTCTGAGCAAGACTGGAGGGCATCAGGGAATTTTGAGCAAGAGAGTAACATAGGCTGACTCACTCTGATGGCTTCTTTCAGACAAGATGGTGGGAGGGCCGGAGGGGCAGAGGTGGGAAGAAGCGGTTGGCTTCTGGGTACTGCTAGTCCCATGGGATTGGCCGATCCCTTGCCTGTGGGCTGTGAAGGAAAGTGAGGAGTCCAGGTGATTCCCACATTCCGGCCTAAATAACTGGAGCTCTGTGTGGGGAGAGTTCGGTTTGAGGCGCCCGGTAGAAGTCCAAGTGATGATGCCGTAGGCAGCTGGATACCCGAGTCTGGAGCTCAGGAAAGGGGTCTAAGTTAGGATGTAAATTTCAGGTTCCCTCACCACATTGATGGATTTTTATTGTTTTAAGATTTGTGTATTTAAGAGAGAAGAGAGTGGGGGGAGAGTGGCAGAGGGAGAGGGAGAAGCAGACGCCCCGCCGAGCAGGGAGCCTGATGCAGGGCTTGATCCCAGGACCCTGGGATTATGAGCGGAAGGCAGACGCTTAACCGACTGAGCCACCCAGGCACCCCCCACCCCATAGATGGATTTTGAAGCCACATGCTTGGATGAGATCGGTAGTGACATGTCAACATGGCTCACCACACACAATGGCTAGGAATAAGATTTGGAGTCAGAACGCCATAGACTTGAATCCAACTCTACCACCAGGGGATATTCCCAGGCAGCTCCTCACCACTCCACGCCTTGATTCCACATCTGTAAAATGGGGATAATAATCATCGATTATTATCGATGATTGCATCGGTCCCACGTGAGAAGTAAAGCCGGTGGAAGTAAGTAAAGCCCTTACCCCAGTGCCTGACATGCTTTCTTTTGAAGCTGGAGAATGGGGTAGCAGTCAAGTTTACCCCCCTCGGTGAGGAAACTAAGGACAAAGAAAGTCAAAAGGGGAACTTGAGTGCCTTCTGATGCATATGGGAACTGAGGTGGAAGAATCCTTCCTCTAACTTGTGAATAACTGGCCAGGGAATAAAAGGAGATGCCAGACAACCATCAGACAGAAACAAAGACAAAAGATTCACAAAAGGATTCTTAAAAGAAAAAATAGCAATCCTTTAAAATGCCGAAACTGAGCTGGCAGGGCAACACCAACATAGAAACAGAATCCTTGCCGCGGGATGAACTCTGGTGACATCAGCGGGGGCCTGTCGTGAGCTGGGTGAGCCGGCGATGAGTCAGGATGAGCACGCTGCCTCTCCACGATGCTCAGCCCCCACACACCAGTCACCACTCACTCCAAGTCCGCCTGGGAACGGAGCCCCATCCTCCCATCAACTGTTCACCTCTCATTGAGCGCCTTCACATGAGGCAAGTCTTTTCTTTCCAAGAGCTCAAAGGCAGGGTTATGTAAGGTTGTAGCGTTGTCCTCGCCCAAGAGCTGAGACCAGCTGCCTGCACGGGGCACTCCCTGCCTAGGCAGTAGGTCAGTTCAGGAAACCAAACCGCAGATCACAAGGCTTGCAAAATCCAGCAGTGGAGTATAAGGAGCTGACTCTCCTCACAGGCTGCTCTCCCCGAGTGTAGAAAGAACCCTGCGTGCTGGACCCCACTGTGTGACATCAGAGCTCCCCCTCCCCAGGCCGGTGGGAAGGACCTTTGTCGCAAAGCATCTGTCTCCATGCCCCCCACCCCAGATTGGTATCAAAAGCTCGTCATATTGCTCTGCTTTTCAGCAGCCTTTTCCCACACATGTCCCCAACAATTTGACAATGTAAAACGTTCTCCTGTCCAGGGATTATATTCCAAACAGCTGTTCCTGGATGCTAGGAAGGATCCGTCGGAAACCGGGACTCTTGACCTCAGCTGCAATTCTTCAGGGGAACCTTTAAAAAGTTCTGGTGCCTACGCTCCACTCGGGCCAATCGTTATGAGCTGCACTGAATCATCCCTAAAATTCTAACTCCCAGTACTTCAGACTGTGACTGCATTTGCGTTGGGGTCTTTCAAGAGGTAATTAAGGGAAAATGAGGTCATTAGGGTGGGACCGAATCCAATATGACTGGTGTCCTTATGAGAAGAGGAGATCAGGACACAGACAAGTCCAGAAGGGAGATCATAGGAGGACACAGGAAGCAGCCTGCCATCCACAAACCAAGAAGAGAGGCTTCAGAAGAAACCCAACCGCCCACACCTCGATCTCTGGCTTCTAGCCTGCAGATCTGTGAGACATACCAGCCTTGTGTGAGCACCCCCAGTCTGTGGTACTTTTGTTATGGCCGCCTTAGGAAACTAATATACCAATTGAATCCGAATCTCTGGGAATGAGACCTAGGCATCAGTATTGACTAAAGTTTGCCCAGTGTTTTGACTACAGCTGTGTTTTAGAAGTCACTCATCTAGATTACAAATGCTCTTCCATCTGCTAAAGTCAGGGCTGACTCTGAAGATGGCTTCTCTAAGAATCCGTGATGCATGATACTTGGTGTAAGTTCCTTCCTTCCTTCCTTCCTTCCTTCCTTCCTTCCTTCCTTCCTTCCTTCCTTCCTTCCTTCCTTCCTTCCCTCCCTTCTTCCTTCCTTCCTTCCATCCTTCCTTCCTGCCTTCCTTCCTTCCTTCCTTCCTTCCTTCCTTCCTTCCTTCCCTCCCTTCTTCCTTCCTTCCTTCCTTCCTTCCTTCCTTCCTTCCCTCCCTTCTTCCTTCCTTCCTTCCTTCTCTCCTTCCTTCCTTCCTTGACAACAATAAACAGGACAGGCCATGGCCCTGACCACAGCCTCAAGCTCACCAGAAATGAAGTTAAGTCCCATCTAACAGCCTTCTATTAAAATCTGAACCACTGAGCAGCCCCAAAGAAAACCTCTAATAAAGCCAAGGACCTAGAAAAGGGCTCGAATCTGATGAAAGGCACCAAGGGAGAGAGAGAGAGAGAGACCCAGCTGTAAAAGCTAGCCAGGAACACCGAGGCAAGAGCATGCCCCTGTCGCACAGAGTATCTTTTTTTTTTTTTTTTTTAAACTTGTGCCTTATTCAGCTTTCAAAGCGGCCAGTTATCCTCAGCAGCATCTTCCTAGGAATGGCCAAAGGACCACTACAAGTGCAGAAGGAAATGGAACTGCAGCAAGAGACCCATGAAATCCTCAGGAATGGCCAGGCCTCCTTTTTCCGCGAACGGTTGGTTCGAAAGAAGCCACCAGTGGTGACCTGGTCCCTGCCGGTCTTTAAATAATGACAGCAAGGAGGACTCGCGAGCTTGCAAGCCTCGTCTCCTTCCCCGGGCCTCTGTTTCCCCACCTGGGCCACCGACACGGAAAGTGTGGACATCTGGGCACCACTCGGGTGCGGGTGAACTGTTGCGGGTTTAATCGCCCTCCCTGGCAGCCTCTGAACCTCTCTCCACATACGTTTCCCTTTGCCATCCCCTCCCCCTCTTTTTTTTTTTTTTTTTTTATTCATCCCTGAAAGCTTCTATTATCAGTCACTGCATGGGGTAAATTTTCAAATCAGCAGTCAGAGTTTTTAAGCTGCATGACTCCTATTACAGCCAAAGGAGGCAGGTGACCAACACCGATGTGGTCTCAGAAATCCGCTCAGCCGCGCACTTCCTCGTCCTCATTCACTGGTCTTCATGGGGTGGATCCAGGTGGGGTTCTAACAAAGCCTTCTCGGATGATGGGTCTGCGTTTCCCAGAGGGTCCAGGGGAAGGGGGAAGCAGAGACACTGAGCCAGAAGAGAGAAAGGAGGGAGAGCGGGCTTGCGAAGTGGTTTTTCGTAGGCATTTGGTCACATTTACCAGATCGGGCTCTGCTAGGAAGGGACAGGTGTTTCGATGGGGTGTCTGAGGCTCTCTCCACCATCCCAGCTTCCCTTTCTCAATCATGCAAGTGTCCCTAAACAATGCCTTCCACCCAGTGGCCGGGCCATCCCTATACAAAAGGCCCCGACCCACATGCCTGCAGCTCTGGGACCCTCTTGGCAATACCTGTCTGTGCTCTGTGGTGGCACCATCTTTGCCCCTCTCCTCTGGCCTCCTGGCTTTTCTTCCCACTCGGCCATTTGGACCAAACATTCATGTGCACTGTGCCTCTGGTGTCTGACCCCATCTTTATAACCCAGACACTGCCTTTGATATGACATCTATAAATGAAGTAAGACCTCTCCGTCCCTCAGAGATACGGGCCACCTCTAAGCCCCCCAGTCCAGCCTACTGAACGTCCAAAGTCTTTCCTGCAATTTCAGCCTCTGCTTCTGGTCCGCACACCTTCACAGACTGTTTCCGAGCTGCATCCTACCGGGGCTCCCCGGCTTGTGTCCAACACCACTCCTACAAAAATCATTAATAAGGACTAGAGGCCGGGGAGCAAGAGGAAAGATTTGCCTCGGGCATATATTAAGAATCCATGATATGTATTCTCAAGTTCCTCGTGGCAACCCCACAATCTTGGGAGAAGAGGGGGACCCCCTTTTCCTGTCTTCCTCAGACCCAGCACCCAGCCTCTGTGCCTCTCTAGAATTTGGCCCAGAAAGTCTAATCTTCCTCTCTCTGTTATGTAAAGGAGTTCAGCAAACACAAGGGCCCAGCACAAAGGTCTCCTCTTTCCAAAGGCCCACAGCCTTCCTCTGAGGAATGGGCTCACCTCTGGGAACTCCTCATTCAAAGGTCACCAGCGTCTAGCAGGGTCCTGCCTCCACCCCTCCTCTGATGTGACGAGCAGTACCAGAGCCAAATGAGAACTGCCCAGTGGCCTCTGACGAGACAGGGCAGGAAAACTGCCACGAGGGAACCTCCACACTGTGTAGCCCAGAAAGCACATGGAAGCAAAAATCGTGAGGTGCAAAACAAGAGGCAGGAAGGGTCGAAGTAGGTAGTGGCAGGTGAAGCAGGGAAGGAGAGGCACTGCCCCACTTGTCTAGTCAAGGCCCTTTAGAATGAAAGGAGGCGTCATTTTCCCCACCTGGCCTCAGTTACAGGCTGCAGAGGCGGTGTCCCCCGCTTGCTTGCTTCCTTGCGTGTGCATGCAATGAATCCCCGTTGGCTCAGGGACTGGGAGGCCTTCTCTGCTCCTTACACCTTAAAACAGCAGCTTTGCAACCTCTGTTCCATGCAAATGCTGCGTGTTGCTCTCAGAGCACCACTAGGCCCCCCATCCTTTGCCCTGTGGGTCAGGGGTCTTACTTGGATTCACAACTTCATGTTCATAGCTGCTAGCACAGAGCCGATGCTCAAGAGGGATTTCCTTCCAGCTCAGCCTTCTACGTGAAAGCCTGTGACCTTAGCCTGATTTAATACCTCCTCATGTCATCACGCAAAAATAAATATTATATAAAAATAGAGGCCCACGTGTAAGACCTTCAACTTTCTTCCTCCAGGTTGACAAACAAACTGCAAGAGAGAGTTTGAAATGGAATAACAGCTACCTGGGCCTGTGGAAAGAAAGCTGAGAAAGATCTTGAGGTCAAACCAAAAGCCATGATTTCTTCCCCCCTCCCGACACCTGGGCCGCCTCAGTGTCCTCAAATGGCACAGTCGCAGGACTATCAGGTTCTCTTGCGTTCAGATAAACTGTGGAAGGGTCAAGCTTGAAAGTCCTCAAGTTAAGTTCAAGGGGCCCAGTTCTACTTCTACTGTAGTGATTCTCCACAAAAAAAAATCTACGGAGGGGTTGATTCTGTAAGACTCAGAAAGCCAGAGGGCAAATCAATTGAACGTTATGGCGTGAGGAGAAGAATCTGCTAGGGTGACCCTTTCTGCTGAATGTGGCTGATGCCAGAGGGGGAAAAAAAAATGCCAGCCTTTTGCCTCCTGTCAGAAATGGCTATGTGCACCAAAAGGGCAGATTTTACCCATTTTCTCTGAAGGAGGCCTTTCTTCTCTGTTTTCATGCTGAAAATTTCTGATTCCATCAATAACCAATGTCTGAATATAGCTTATGTGGGTTCCCTTTATGTGGCATTTATAAACAAAATAATAATCTCACTGGAATATCCACCTCCGAAACTCCGATTATTACAGTGGGATTAAAGTCTATAGACCCCATACGCTACCACTATCCTTTCTCCCTCCTCACCAGTAACTGGAGTGGTCTAGTGGGTCTCTCTCCAATGGAAACCAACCGCGTCCTCTGAAGGCGTGAGCAGTGGAGGCACGACCTGTCACAGCAAACCTCTATGTTTCTTCTGACCCAGCTCATAACCCAGATGATGTTTGCGCCAACATGGCCCCATGTGCATGCTCAAGGGCCAGATGTGTCCCCGCCATTTTCCTCCCACTCGAGAAACTATATCAGAATGCAAGAACCTAAAAACAGCACCCTTATGGGGCCTCTCTCTGGCACGCATTATAATTTATCAACAAAGCAAATTATTCAAAACTTTGATATTTCAACTCTTCTTAATTAACACATTCCTTCTCGCATGCAGTGTGGACACCATGAGTGAGAACACTGACTTCTCAGACACCCTAAGATGCCTACTGCTGGAATTGTTGATGTCAGACCACCAAGCATAAAGAATAACTGCTACTGTTAACTGACTCATGGAAGATTCCAGCACTTGAATGGGAATCAAGGCACCTCTCTCTTTCTTGAAACACGCTCACCCAAATTCCATACTCTCCAATGACAATAACAATTGTGTAATACCCAACAAAGGCTCCGTTACCCTCTAAACAAAAGAAACGATAAAACATGACAACTTTATCATCATTACGGACCATTACTATTTTTTGTTGCTTTATATACTTCCAAATTCCCTAAAAATGAACATCCACCATTTTTTAATAGGATATTGTTCAAAATGTTATGTAAAAAAATGTATTTTCAACACCAGGAGTGTGATTTGAGGAGATTCTCCAGGGCACAGGCTCATCCCCATATTGATTTAAGAAATTCCTAGAGCCATGAGAAGAGGGGGGCATTTTTTAAAAAACCTCCAAAGGGAGGGCCAATGGAAGGTAGAGGCTATTGCATTTTTACTAAAAGATTTCTTGACTGTGCCTCCCAGTGTGATAGATACTATAACAACACTCCTACCTTCTCAACAAACAATTAAAAGACAACACTTTCCAAGTGTCTATGAGATAGGACCTCTAGGATCTATTATATCAAATGCACGTTTTATAAGTCACCTGTCAGCTAAGCTTCTATGAGTGACAGACATTGGTCTCTGGAAGAAGTATGTCACAGAATTGGAAACGAAAGAGAATCAAAGGTGCATACACCGCTAGCCAACACCAAATTTTCTTTGGTCACTGAGAATATAAGGGCTTGGGCTATTTCTTTCCAACCATCTGGGCAGTCGAACCGAGATCAGGGGTTACGACACTGAAAATCCAGAGAATTTAGAATTAATTAAGAAGAGTTGTACAGAGGACCACTGAACAGCTTTTGCGTCTGGCTCACCATTTCTGTATTGGGAAGGTGTGAACTTTGAGCCGGAGTGGTGGTCAGGATAGAGGGGCGGCGTACCAGGAAAGTGGAGGGACAGTTACAAGGGGAGTGGGTAGTCACTGCAGGAAGAAGAACAAAAATCAAGAGAAAGAAAAATAAAAGGGAGGAGGCTAGAGGTAAAACAGAAGCCAAGGAGGACTAACATTCCTCCCTGCCCATGTGGGGGATATGATGAAGGTTTGCTCTTCAAGCTCATCAGGAGCATAAGCAATAATTCACGAAAGCCAAAGGACAAGGGAGACCCCCGAGGTGACCTAGACTTTGCAATGAAAACACACCAGGGAAGCAGAGAGTGCAGACATTGGTGCCACAAAGCTGGGGGAAGCCTTCCACACTGCTTCCCAGTCTTCGTCCTGTCAGATGACAAATGTCTCTTTCATGTAAGGATCAAACGGTGTCGGAGGCAGGAACATAAGTGAAAACTCCAGTGACATTGATTTTGCATGTTAGTGGGGCTGCTTCTAAAGAGGAACTCCCATGGCAGCCGGAGAGTTTCTTCACCTGGGGACCACGATCCTGCAGCTCCCTTAGCCACAAATTGGCCAACGGGACCAAATTCATCCAGCCCCTCGGACAGCCTCACGTTGACACTTCAGTTACCTGATAACTGCCGCCATGTTTTTCAAGCTGAGCAGGAAAACTCCAGAAGACCTTAACCTTTTCTCCCTCTTCAGCTCCTGCTAACCTTCTACCTCCTTCTGCTGTTTCCTGGCTAAGTCTCCAGGGTGAGGTTGTTATTAGCACACGGAGGGAATACCAACAAAGAGTCCCAGACCTGAATTCAAATCCTGCCCCTGCTGTTTGCCAGGGGCGTGACCTCGGCCAGGTTGCCTAGATTCTGTCAACTTCAGTCTCCTAGCCTGTAAAATGGCAGTTGCTGCAGAAAATCAAATAAGACCGTGACCGTTTGGAACACTTAGATGCTGTGATGGTTGTTGTGATGCCAATGGTGGTAAGCAAAGTAAGGATTCAGCGCCTTCTCAAAACTAACATGAAACGTAACTTTCTTCTGGTGAAAATGCACTTGAAAACCTCTTGAGCACATTACAAGTAGCCAATCTATCTTTAGTTTCATGCAAAAATATTCTGCTCCAATTATACCGAAAGCTTCTTGACAAAAAATTAATGTTTAATTTGATAACATCATCCTTCCAATGTAGGAAAAAAAAAATCCCACAAATTTTGTGTATCTGAGAAATAATTCTAAGTGATTAATATGATAATAATTGTTAGTTAATAATGAAGAGAAATATGCTATGGTCAATACTCCATGTTTGCTTACAAAGGTTTTTTGGGTTTTTTGTTTTTTGTTTTTTCAGTCTAAAGATGGCAACAGAGAATATTGTAGATGTCTCTCTGGGCTCCACTCTATAAAGATTTCTACTAAAGCAACTGGAGTCCCTTTAGGGCATTGGTTTGTGTGTCTGTCACTGGAATGTGAGCTCCCGTGGCTAATGTCTCAGCCATTGTTGTATACCTGGTGCTGCTACATAGTAGGCTAGGATGGATGAGTGGATGGTTAGTCCACCTACACTGGCAGGAATAGATAAAATCTGAAAAGGAAAGCTATTTTATAAGTTCATATTATACTTGTATCAGTTAAGATCAAGCTCAGCTGCTTCCATCCATACCCTAACAAAAAGGGCTTAATGAAAACTGATGTGTACTTCTTTTTCACACCAAAGTCTAGAGGTAGTCTGTCCACAGCCCCAAGGCGCCAGGGACTCATGTGCCTCGAGTCTCATTGCTCAAGGCTATTGCTGTGTATGGCTTTCATTCCTGGGTTTACATCTTGGTCCAAGACGTCTCTGAAGCTCCAGTTATTATAAGCACAGTCCAGGTGGAAGAAAGGTATGCATGGGCATTTGGGGAGCAAAATGGGTGGACTGTGTCAAAGAATGTTATTTTCCTCTCAATATCTATTTCTTCCCTTTTTAATAACAGAACCTCAATTTCTATCCCCTTTTATTGCCATCCATAATAAATGCTATATTCCTCAGCCTGCCTTGCAGTGAAGTGTGAACATATGACTAGGTTTCAGATAATGAAATATAAGCAGAAATATTACATAGAATTTTGGGGAAGTTTCTCCTCTTTAAAAGGAACACAGATATGATGGCTGGAGCCCTAGCAACCATCTTGGATCATAAAAACCATAAAGACAAAAGCTGCATCCTAAGAATGACAGACGAATGAACTACAGGGAAACTTCGTATCTAAAAACCTCATAGAGGATCCAGACCAGTCCTGGACTGCCAACTCTGAACATCTTTTATGTGAGAGAGAAATTAACTTTTATCTTTTTTTTTATGCCACTCTTACATTTCTGGCCCCCTATAAAGCTGAATCTAGTCCTAAACAGTACAGGACTGAAGTATTAAATCTCTTTCCTCCCCCTTCCTATTTATCCATTACCAGTAGCATTATTCTCCACCAACAAGGCCATTACTGAATCTTTTTTCGCTATCTTAACCTTTCTCATAGGGAGTACCAAACAAAGGACACAAAGCTCATAACTTTTAGTTTTGCAAACTATGAAAATTTTATAACAAAAGGAAATGAAGCATGAACTATCAACAATTCCCCGTACAGCTATTTGAAATAAAAGAGTTAAGAGAATTCACCTCCAAAATCCCAGAAGCACTTCTGTCACCATTCAACATCTATGGCCACATTCTCACCTTGTACTTGATAAGGGAACATATCCTTAGGTAAACGGTTCCTCATTAACATACATACCTAAAAAGAAAGAAGTCAGCAGGAGAGAAATAGTTATTGTCCTCTATCAAAGAGGCAGATCATGAGCTCTTTGCCATTTGACCTAAAACTCAGCTGAACAAGATCACCCCATTTTCCTTCTTACAAATCCCTACAAAAAAGTTCAAGCCACGTACGTTATCAAAGCAACTTTATAAATAAGCTGGTGCCAACATATCCATGAATACTAAAAATATGTTCCTGGCCAACAGTTGTCTTCTCTAAGATTCTATTGGAGTTACGCCTCGTCTGATAACCTCAATTCTTATTTTATCTTATTTATATTTAAATGAGTTCAGTGGACCCACAAGTATAAGATAAAGTGTTTTATAAATTGATACCACGGAGAGATCAAGATTAATAAGTTTTATGAAGGTGGTGTGTGGGTAGCTTCTCTGAATCTTTCTGCAAGGTGGTATCTGGACTCCACTAATCACTACAGATCTTATGACAGAGAAGAAAGATGGGTAGACAAAGCTTACTTCAAAGACCTGGATTCTTGTCCCAATTCCCATTTCCAACAGGTAGTATAAATTTGGACAAGTGTCTTAATCTCTTCAGCCTCTTTTCTGTTAAATGAGAATAATAACAACTTTAAATAATATTGGTGAGGTTCAACACTATATGAAAACAGTTTATAATGGTAAAGAGTTGCATAAATGTATTATCTATATGTTTGTATGAAATAGTAGTGTTTAAGTTCTAAGTAGTAGAAACTAAACTGTGTACCTTAAGCATTTGTGTGTATATATGTATGTGCCTAATGTATACAGAACATTCCGGAAGAAAAGAACACAAACCATTAAATAAAACAGTTACCCTTGGGGATAGGGTATATTTTGTTTCCTTTAAACTTTTGGTGATAGCCGTATATTATAAAATTAAGAAAAAATGTGGACTATGACTGAAGTTCTTTTCATGATGAAATGGGAGGAGGCCAAAGCTAAGGGATTTGAAAGAAACAGGGTATTCTTCTAACAGTGATAACGAGTCCCCCAAATCTACAGTCTTGAAAGCCCTTCCCCTGGTGACCCACAAATTGTGTCCTCCAGATGGATACCAACAATTACGTGTCAAGATTTAGAAAACCAAAATACTTAACAATTGTTTGAAGAAGCCTCCGAATATTCAATATACGGGGGTTTCTGACATTAGGAGCCAGCACTAAACTTACACCACAGCACTTGTATTTCTAAGAAGCACCTTTTTATTCAAGGAACACCTTATCCCTACGATCCATCAGGCAAAAAGTGTACGGCTTCCACAATTATTTTGTTGTCCACCATTTCCCTTCCTCTTCTTCATTACCTGTTCTATAAATATTCCAACACTCACACCTAAAACCCCAAAGAAGATTTGGAGGTGATACGCTGAACAGGAATTAGGCCTCAGAATACCTAGCAATCAAGAACTTCCTGGGCCCCTCCCCGTTCCCCCCAAATTAAAGCAGAAATTCTTTGTCTTTGTGCAAATCCCACTCTCTTTACTGGAGTCTTCAAGTACCTACCATGATTGCCTTACCTCCAGCCCAACTGAGTCATTTGGTCTAAATTCTCTAGGCAGGCACACAGCGAGTCCGGATCTCCATCCTAATGATGATGACTACTTCAATCTCCACACATCTGGCTCCTGCGAATGCCATCTGGGAGGCTAGTCAGCAGGGAACAGACCAGGTAAAAAGGACACCAGAATGGTGGGACACTATGAGAAATAAGATGGTGTTTCCTCAAAAAAATTAAAGAAGGAATTACGATGGGATCTAACACTTTTCACAATAGCCAAAAGACAGAAACAACTCAAGCGCTCATTGACAGATGATTGGATAAACAAAATGTGGTATATACATTATTACTCAACATATACAATATTACTTGACCTTAAAAAGCAGGGAAATTCTGTCACATGCTACAATATGGATGAACCTTCAGGACATTGTGTTCAGCAAAATAAACCAGTCACAGGAGGACAGATACTGTATAATTCCACTCCTGTGAGATCGTTAGAGCAGTAAAATTCATAGAGACAGAAAGTAGAATGGTGCTTCCCAGGAGATGGAGGGAGGGAAGAGGGGCGTGTCATTGTTAATGGATACAGAGTTTCAATTTGCAAGATGAAAAGAGTGCGGGAGATTGGTTATAAACCTCTCTGCTTAAAATGGTAAATTTTATATTGTGTATATTTGATCACAATGTTTTAAAGAAGGATGCTAAAATCGCCTATGTCCTCCCCTGAAGCCAAGAGCACCACACATCTGGCCCATCTGGACCCCCTAATGTCCAACCTTAGAAGGCCAGCCCAGGTCGCATTAAAATCCTGCCATGAGCAAATCCCTTCCAGCTAATGGGAAACTTCCCATCTCTGGCCTGCTATAGCCACATAATCAAGACTAAATCTCAGTCCCAAACTGTGTTGCAGAAGAATGGTTTTGGCTGTAATGGGGTTCCCACATAGGTAGAAATTTAAGAAGCTGTCAGTGGCAGTAATACTGTTTCTTCATCTGGGTGGTAGTTACATGAGTATGTTTACTTTGTGAGAATTCATAGAGCTGTACAATTAGGATTTCTGCACTTTCCTGTATGTAAATTAGGCTTTGGTATATTTTTTAAGTTATTAAGAAAATTTTCCAGCCCTACTTTGTTCTTGCTTGCTTCACTGTTACAATCCTTGGCCTCTCACAAGATGAGCCTCAAAGAGCCTAGCAGAGTACTAGGCTTTTATCACAAGCTTCAGATGTGCCTACGGACTTCACTGAAATGTGGAGATCTGGGAGTTATCAGAGGGAAGAGGGCAGTGGGATGGTTTTCCAAAATCCTTCAGCATCAGCAAAACAGAAGCTTCCTGACCCCAAAGCTGCAGCTCAATAATACAGCCATGACAATCAACCCAGGCTTCTAGAGCAAACTCAGCTGTGCTCATGATAACCCACACTCTGCGAAGGTAACAATTTTGATTTTAAAAAGAGATAGATGATAGATAGATGATATATAAAGATATATATTTTTAAAACGTATGTGTGTGTATATACATGTATACACATGTACACACACACACCGAAAGCACAGTGTCAATAGAGCTGAAATCCAGCCTCCCCACAAGAAGAATGAACACGATGGGATAAATATTAGTGCCTATATTGAAAAGTGGCTTAAACCAAAATAGACTTGCAAGTGGCAAGCTCTTTTGACAAGGTCTGTGATGGCTGATTTTTAAGGAAAGTCAAAATTTGAGCCAGCGCTCCTTGGTCTTGAACATGCTGATGACGCTCATGACCCCAAGAAGCAGAAGGGCTGGCCCCGCAGCAGAAGGGCTAGAAACAAAGCACCTCCAAGCGGGTGAGATAGAGCCCCCCAAAACCACCGGTAGGAGGTGCTCCGTTTGAAGCCTCTCGCTGGAGAAGACCTTCGAACTCGTAGACACTAAGCCTTCATAGGATCTCGTGCACTGGGATGCGGGGAATGGGCGCCATTTGCATTTCAGCTGTTTCTCCGCGTGCCAGAGAAGAGTCCTGCCCGGCAGAGCCTGGCTAGGGGTCTGTATGGTGCAGAGCTGGCTCCCAGAAGGGCTGGAAGGCCTCTGCACTTGCCCATCGGCTCCCTGTACATGGGACAGAGCGGGGCAGCATGGATCCCCTGAGGAAAGCCGGAGGGGGGAGTTCACTGAAGTCTGACCCAAACACCACGCCTGTGGGGGGACTCATGAGGCAAACAGATCTGGAAGCAAAAGGGGGTTCTGGTTGGGACACGGGGGAGCCCTCCAGCTCCTACCGCTCCTGAGAGAAAGTACACATTGGGTGGGTAGGCCAGTTTAAGATGGAAGGTGCACCAAGCTGCTCTCAGTTCTCATTTTTCTCTCTCTCTTCCCGGTTTTCTCGGGTCTGACAAATCCAACGGAATCCCAGAGGAAAAGCGCGGGAGGAGGGAAGAGTCGTCCCACTCCAGGCAGATTTATGGCATTCTGGATGCAGCTTGCGTCTGTCAGGCCAAAATGGTGAGGGTGGGCTCATCGAGTAGAATTACAGCTTCCGATAATGGGGAAAGTTAAATAGACAAGCTCGCCTACCCCGAGGAGCACGAAGCAGAGGTCAATGCTGTTGGCTTTGAACATGAATGGCCCCTTCCCCTCTGTCCCTTATTCACATGTGGCCCGGCAACAGTAGCAGACAGATGCCACACAAAGACAGACACACCTGATTAACCATGAATACAACAGCTGTCGCTTCCCCACCACTGCCATTACCCACAGCCTGGCCCTGTCCGCTCACTTTTTTCCCTTTCTTTCAGCCAGCACGAGGAAATTAAACCCACCATTAAAACCCAAGTTAGTGGGAGGGTGTCAGCAGCCAGGCCATTGTCTCTCTGCTCACAGCCTTGTAATAGGTACCTTCTGATTTGTCCTTTCATCTGAAGAAGAGCTGCGACCTACTGCTGAGCGCCCAGTCAACTCAAAACCTGAGACCCCCAGAAAGGCCAGCAGTGGGTGGGGCAAGATGGAGCTGACTCAGATGAGGAGGGAGAAAGTAGACAGAGCAGCGCGTTTTGTGTGCACCTGAGGGTTTCTCTCTTCTGCCCTCCCCCTCCTCCTCTTCATTCTCTCACCTCCAGCCGACCAGGGTTCCCCGCTGCTCAAAACACCCACCCTGACAACTTGGCAGTCCTGAATTTACTGATAGGAAGTAGAGCTCAATGCAACATTGTCCTTCCGTGAGAACTCACTGATTTTTGCCCCCCCACCCCCGTTTTGAGCTAGCCTTCACAAAGGAGAATGAGGGCAGGTGTTGTTTTTTGCTTTTTGTTTTCCTCTCTTAGGTAGCCACATCCTTGAGTTCAATTCAACTTCCAAGACCTTGAGAATCAAGTTCAGGAGGAAATCTAAATGTTGAAATGCAAATAACTTCAGAGGACATAAATAGAGCAGAATGTGATTGTGCCGAGCTTCCAGAAACCTACAGAACGGTAATTAGAGCCCTAAGTGTGAACTCTGATTTTTCTTCAGGGGTTTTCTTTTGTTTTTGTTTTTGTTTTTTTCCTTTGGTCAGTTTGAGTTAATCATTTGACCTCTGTAGACCTGCATTTCTAGTTCTTAAAATGGCTCTCTTGATTGTTAAAAAGTCTCTTAAGCCGTTACCAAGACAGACTAAAAAAAATGATCAGAAATCACTCAGCAAACACAAAGCCTTATAATATAATAAGGGGTTGATAACTGGGCAATTTAACTCAATCTCACAAAAATGAAACAAATACCCCTTACTTCCTCATGAGTGGAAAAGTAATGGAACACTGCAAACCTGTCATCTGAAGGCTGTTTCTAATGAAGCCCCGGCTCTACTCTATACTTCTACTAAGAACTCGAGGAGATATCTCCATCAAGATAATTAGAAAGAAGTCTAACTGAAATGCCTGGAAGATTCTGTTTCAGACAACAGAGTAGTAGTCCCAAGAGCCACGATTATGTAGGACATTGGGATTTGTTCTAGAACACAAAGGTAGCTTGCCGTGGTTGGTGATTTTAGACTCATCTTTCATCCAGTTGATGAATAGCCATATCCACCATCAAAGCAACCAAGGGGTCCCACCTCAGAGCAATTTGAAAAGACCTCCCTCACTATGCCATTGAAAACCTTCTCCACAACTCTTATAGTATCCAAATATCTCTTTTTTCTTGCTTCACAGAACCCACAGTTTAAGCAGAGTAAGCCCGTCTGTTTTCAATTCTTAACTTTTCACACATGGCAAACGAGTAGAACTTTTGAACACTGCGATCATCTGGCTGATGAGCAAGCTGTTTTCCGTTTCTGGCAACAAATACTTCTGGCTTATCTTGACGGGAAGAAAAGGGATGAAAATATATCTGGTTGGATATCGTTGATAACATTTGTCATCTTTGCAGCTTAAAAAAAAATAGCTTAGAAAAAAATCTCCCTTGGTGTTGCAGAAAATGGCAAAGAATTGACACCAGCATTAAGATGCCAATTAAATTGAATTCGTAAATGAAGTAGACTACTGTGGTCCTTTCTATAACAAATGCAATATAACATCATGAAGTGGGATGAGGACCGGATCAGGGCTAAGGATCTTTGGGTCCTGGATCTGGAGCCCCATTGGTGGGCATAGTACCTTCAAAGGCTCACTTTGTGTGCCTAAACCTGTCCCCCTCTATATCCGTCCGCTAGGGCTGCTATAACAAAGCAGCGTGGTCTGGGGGGCTTACATAACAGAAATGTATTGTCTCCCGGTTCTGTCTCATGGAGGCTAGAAGTCTAAGGTCAAGGTGTTGGCAGGGTTGGTTTCTCCTGAGGCCTCTCTTGGCTTGTAGATGCCCATCTCCTCCCTGTGTCCTCATGCGGTCTTCCCTCCATGTGTATCTCTGTCCTAATCTCCTCCTCTTATAAGGACACCAGTCATATTGGATTAGGACCAACCTTATTGACTTCATTTTAACTTAATTAAATCTTTAAAGACCCCCACTCTAAATACAGTCATGTTCTGAGGTACCTGTAATACCCTCTGAAGGACTCGTTTGACTGCAGTAGCTTAGATCTATCTCCATTCTGACACACTCTGAGGCTATGGCCTGGATCCATAACCAAGGTGAGTGGCGGGCTCATCTGGCATCCATCTTG